GAGCAAAAAGGAGAACCTGGACTTAGATGGTGATGTAAAGGTCACAGAAGAGAGAGTATTAATGCCATGTCGACTGACACGTATTAGGAAGCTCCTTGAATTCTGGCATTAGAGAGGATTCATTAATTTAACTGATTCACTCTCTGGGAACCACCGCATCAGGTGCACTAATTCAGAGCAGAGACAGTAATCCCCAGCTCCTCGCTGGTCCCCCTCCAAGAACAGGCTCCGAGAGGCGCTGGGTGGCTGGAGGTCTGTGCGGGGTCCCCGTCTGACACCCCGCAGCGAGGCTTTGGCCGTCGCCCGACGGGAGCCAAGGGATGACACCTCGGCCAGGGGGAGGCTGACAGGGCTGGAGCCGCACCGAGGAGAAACACCGGTGCCTGAAGCGTGCCTCGTCACGGTGGGAGCAGCCGGTCCTCCCGTAGCCCTTCTCTGAGCCGGAATAGCCCCCGGCCACCATGGCACGGGGCCAGAAGAGACCCCCGCTCGCCAAGCAGACGCTGCGATGGCTGTAAAACCACGACAGAGGAGCCCGTGAGCATCCCAGAGCTAAAGGTGAAGGCTGCGCTCACGTGGCATCCCCTGCCAGGCGGGTGGCTGCGCCGCAGTCTGCCTTCTCTTCTCCTGCCTTGTTTTTCAAGGGTACCTTTTGTAACAACCGGGAATAAAACGGTGCCGCTTCCCACCGCCGCAGCTGCCGTGGGAGTCACCGCGCCGGCTCCTTCGCCCGCCGCAGCCCTGCCAGCCCCACGGCCTCTCCCCGCCCGGCAGCTCACGGCCGGGGATGAAGGCCCAGGGAGCTCACCGGGGTGTCCCCGGAGCACAGTGACACCCTGGGGGATGAGCATCGTGGGGACAGAGGTGGCAGGAGATGCGGCAGGGTCCCTCCTTCCCCTCTGCTCCGCACTGGGAGCGCTGGAGATGAGTAATCGCTGCTGACGTCTCGGGAGCACAGACATGGCAGCTGCCGGGGCTGGATCATGGCTCAGGTTCGCTCCTTCGCTGAGCAGCGAGGAGCCTCAATGGAAAAAGCTTGTGTGATGCCCTGGGAATCTCTGCTGCTTCCCCAGCCAGGAACCAGCTCCTCGGGAGCAGGAGGGGGCAAAGCGGGTGAAAAAAAAATAACTTTCTGGGAACCAGCACCTTTCTGAGGTGCCCAGATCGAAGCCCCAGGCTCAGGACAGGGCAGCGTCTCCTGCACGTTACCTGCACCACACTTACAGCTCCAATAAAAATCTACTGGAAGAAAATAAAATATTCTTTTCCCTCCAAGGGGAACTGAAGGCACTGGATTAAGGGAGATTTTCCACAGCGGTTCCCAGCCGTGGGGTCAGACACAAGAAAAAGCAGCGTTTGGGAGGAGGTGGGAAGTGGCCCAGCCCAATTCCTCGCTCTGCACCCCAGGAGCCCGATGGGCACCCGATGGGGGGGCTTCTGCGAGGCCAGAGCCCGACTGAACCCCCTGCCTCGGCAGCGTGAAAGCAGAGCTCGCCCCGGGGGCGGAGGGGGGCAGGCACCACAAGGCTAATAATACACCAGCGCTCCCAGCGCTGCCTTCCATTAAAAAATCCAGTCAGCTGAGGTAGGAGAGTAACAAAATGTCCTCTTCGCAATCAAGCCATCAGCTTTTATCTCTCTTGTAGGAACAGGCTGCCTTCAACAGCGAGGAAGTGATATTTTAGAGCGTCTAATAAAGCAGTTTAAAATGAAACTGCGGAACAATAGCCTTAGCCGAGAACTGGCATTTGAACAGAAAGTCGGGCGGGGGAGCTGTGCTACAATTTATTTCTTCTCATTTCATTTCATAAGAGGGAAGCAAAACAAAGCAGACACCTGAGGCATCTCCAGCTGGCGCCAGAGATTTAGCAAATGCTGCCATCGCGCGGGGAAGCCTTTGCTCGGCCCCAGGGAAGCGGAGGTTTTGGGGGAGCCCCTGGAGGAGGAGGGGGGGGGGGGTCAGGATGAGCCCCGGAATCCCGGGATGTGGGTGCTGGGCGAGCAAAGGAGCTCTTTCCATCCTCCACCACAATCTGCGGGGATCACACAGGTAGTGCCTGTAAGCCGGTTATCAGCCGGCAGCTCCTTATCTCCGGCACAAATCGACTCGGCTTTTCGTGGCCGCGGTGCCGGGAGGCCCCCGGAGCTTCCTTCTGCCAGATGCGGCGGCCGCGTTAACACCGGGCCTTCGGCAGCCAGCGCTTCTCCCATCTCCCGGCCCGTTCCTATGGAAACAGGTTGGGAGCCTGCCCCATTTTCCATAAAGAAGGAGAAGGGAGAATGAACTCGTTATCGATTAAGTGGCCGTTCGTCACGTTCAGGGTGTTGCAATTCAGGAGGATATATGGCCCCAGACAGAGTCTGGCAGGGGCAGGGTGTATCACGTCGATGCAGCCGAGAGCAGCTCCACAACCTTCCCGTTCTGCCTTAACGGCAGCCGAGATGAATCACGTTCACCGAGGCTGGGATAAAGCTTCAGAGCAATCACAGGCAATTAAAAGTGGGGAGGG